AGGAGCAGGAGGAGCAGGAGGAGTTTGAGGAGGAGGAGAAGGAGGATGAGGAGGAGGAGGAGGAGGAGGAGCAGGAGGAGGAGGAGGAGGGGAAGGGGAGTGAGGGAGTGAGCGATGCGCTCTCCAAACTGGACCGGGAAGGGGGCGAGGGTGACGCGCTGACACAAGCAATCCGAGTGGACCATCGAAAGTATACGTTCTGCAGTTTTCCTTTCCTCTAAATGTTCGCGAAATCGGCCCCCATGGATCTCGATCACTTCCCTGCGGCCAGCTTTTCCTCCTGACTTGTTTTGTAGGGTCCCGGGGACGGCAAACGTCCTCTGGAGACTGAAAACTCTGGAAAGCCTGCCAACAGTCCGTCGCGATTTTTTTTGCAACGCCTGGATCTGAGAGTTCTTGTTCTTCGAAGGACTGGGAGGGCAGGGCGTACAGCTTGGACTACCTGACTGGCGCCCAGATCTTCAAGGTCGGCGGCGACATCGGGACGCACACCAACGCGGCCGCCGTGTACGACCCGGGCCACAATGTCCTGGTGGCTCTCGGGGTCAAGCACTACGAGAACGGCCGCTGCAATCCTTACCCGGCACCTGGTATCCTCCCTTCGTGCTGGACGTGGTCGGTCAGGGGCAACGTTAGGGGTGTGCGTGTGTGTGTGTGTGTGTCTTTTCCGTAGCCCCTCTGGATCAAGGCCGTCTGGGCTCGAGCACGCCCCTGGCCAGGTGCGGTGTTCTGGCCCTGGCATGATGGAGACCGCGGCGGCGCGGCGACGGCGGCAGGCCCGTGCCGCTGCCGGTCGCCGCTTGGCTGCCGCCGCCGCCGGCGCCCCGGTCGTCGCGGGCCCGCCGGGGCTCTGGCGCCGCTGGCGCTGCGGATGCTGCTGGCGCGACAGGCGCCGCCGCTCTCGGCGGCGCGCTTGCTGCTGCGAGCGCTTCTGGCGCTGCTGGCGCCGCCGCCTCGACCTTCGCTACCGACGCCCCCTGGGCGGTCGGCGCGGGCTGGGCTGCTCGCCCTCTCGCCCCCGCGGGCGCCCTGGGCGCTGCCGACGCCCCCGGGCATGTCGGCGCGGCCGTCCTGCTGGCGCTGCCGGCGCGGCCGGCGCCCCCTCGGCCGCCGCTGCCAGCGCCGCCGACGCCCCGTGTGCGGTCGGCACGGCCAGCGCGGCTTGGCCGCTCGCCTCGGCCGGCAGCGTGGGCGCCGCCGACGCCTTCGGGAGCGTTGGCGCGCCCCGCGCCCTCCTGTGGGCCCCCGCGCCCTGCGCTGCTGGCGCCGCTGATGCTGCCGACGCCGCTGGCCTTGGCGCTGTCGGCGCCGCCGGCGCTCCAGGCGCGGCCGCCGCCGCCGCTGCGGGCGCCTGCGCTGTGGCCGCCGCTGCTGCTGCTGCTGCTGCTGCTGCTGCTGCTGCTGCTGCCCGCGCGGGCCCCTGGCTGGCCGCGGCCAGACTGGCGCTGGCCGCCGAGTTCGCGGCCGCCGACGTCGCGGCGCACGCCGGCGCGTGCGTGGTGGAGGAGGATGAGGAGGACGGGGGAGGACTTGGGACAGGACGTGGGGAAGGCCGTCGCAGTTGGCGGGGAGGGCGACGTGTGCGACGCTGTTCTGGCGACGCCTGCATCCTCCGCAGCTTAGCCGAGAGCATCGACGCCAGCGTCTGCCTGACCCCGGCAGCGCCGTCGTGACCAGCTTGGGTGCCCGGCGGATTCGACAGTGGAGGGCGTCGAGGAGGGCGTCGAGGAGGGCGTCGAGGAGGGAAGGAGGCGCAGGAGGTGGTGGACGAGGAGGGGTAGTTCGTCGACGCGGAGGCTGAGGAGGCGAACGTGGAGGTGAAGAGGGGCATGGCCCAAGTCTTCGCCATGGGCGCGGACGACGTGGATGATGATGATGGTGTTGATGATGCTGCTGATGATGATGATGATGATGATGATGATGGTGATGATGATGATGATGATGATGATGATGATGATGATGCTGCTGATGATGATGATGATGATGAGTATGATGATGATGATGATGATGATGATGATGATGATGATGATGATGATGATGATGATGATGATGATGATGATGATGAAGAAGATGTTGATGATGATCATGATGCTGGTGATGAGGATGAGGATGAGGATGATGACAATAATGATGATGATGAGGAGGAAGAGAAGGAGGTGGAGGAGGCCCGCGGAACCTCGGCTCCCGAGGAATCGACGGCCGCTTCTCCAGGATCTCCACGCGGCTCTTCCCTCGCTGGCGACCCCCCCCCCCGCGTTGCGCCCGCGTGGGCCAGGCGCGCGGGATCGCTCAGTTTTTTGTCCACTGCCGCACTCCGTGGTGCTGCGGGGAGGCAGGAAAGAGGAGAGGAGGGAGGTTCGGCGGGCCCTGGTCCTTTCGGCCCCCCCTCGCCGACATCGCGCCCGTGCGGGCCTGGCCGAGGCCAGGACGCCGATTTTCACTTTACTACTGCCGCGTCTCGTGGCGCCCCCCGCACTCCCCCGGGGGGGGGGGGAGGGGGCGCGGACCGTGGCAGCGATGGCCGTGACAGAAACCAGCGGGGCTTCTTTCGAGCCTCGCCAGGGCCCTGATGGGACCTCCACATCCCCCATACCTGGTAGCAATTGCGGTATCAGAGACCAGCGGGCCGAACCTGGTGGCGATGGCGGAGTCAGGAACCAGCGGGCCTCCCCTGAGCCTCGCCAAGGCTCAGGGGGAACATTCCTTTCTCCCGTTATTGCCGCGTTCCGTGGCGCCCCTGAAGCTGGTGGCAATGGCGGTGTCAGAGACCAGCGGGCCGAACCTTGTAGTTTCACACCCGTTATCGCGGCATTCCGCTACACTCCCAGTCGTGGCGCGTCGGATGCTAGTGTCTGTTCACCTGGTGGCGTGCTCGGGGAGAGGGGGGGCCCTGGCGGTGTCAGAAACCAGCGGGCCGAACCTGGTAGAGATGGCGGAGTCAGAAACCGGCGGGCCTCTCCTGAGCCTCGCCAGGACTCGGGGGGAACCCCCATCTCTCCCGGGTTAGCCGTTTTTTTTTCAGCGGCGCTCCTGGACAGAGCAACGACGGCGGTGTCAGAAGCCAGAAGGCCACTCACGGTCCCTTGCAAGCCCCCGAATGCACGCTTACTGCGGGCGGTGCCGCCGCTGTTTGGGGTACACCTGGTCAGAGCCTCGTCGCCGCGCTGAGGACCCGCCACGAAAGGCCGCCGCCCAGAGGCGCGCGGGCCAACGCGTCTGGCAGTGGCACTCCTGGATCGCGAAGGGGTGCTGTGTCAGGCATGCCAGAACCACCTGTCCAAGGCTGCGACGACACGGTGGCGCCAGAAGGGGCTGGGAAACCCTCGCCAGCGTCTGGCGTCCCCAGCAGTGGATTCCCTGGCATCTGGGACCGCGTGCGGAGAAAGACGGCCAGGTTCACAAAAACCAGAGTTCTCAAGGTGACGCCGTACCGGGACAGCCCTCCGGTCTCGAGGTGGCCCCCCTGGTCCGCCCTGGAAGCCAGGGGGTCCTTCCCACCCCGTTGTCGCGACGATCGCATTTGGTGCCGCTGCTCGTCCTGGAGAACCCTCGTCGCCACGGCTGGGTAGCAGAACCCAGCAGCGCAGCTGTGAACAGCAGGACGGGCGCCAACAACACCATTGGGAACATGACGAAGGATGCCCGCAACGCGCCCGCGAGCAGCAGGATTTTCCCCAGCAGCAACATCGTGAGCAGGACGAAAAACCCCAGCAACTCGACCGCGCGCAGTACGATGGGCTCCAGCACCACGACCGCGAGCAACCAAACGGGCTCCAGCATCGCGACTTCGGGCGGCCAGGCAGACGCCGCTGGGCGGACCAAGCCGACGACAGCGACGCCGAACCCGACACGCTTGGGCCCGACGCCCCACTCGACGCCACTGCCGGCGCCCAGCCCTGTACCCCTCCCGCCCTGTCCGCTGCCCCTTCCGACGCCCGCGCCCGCCCCGTGCCTGCCAATCGGGGCGTTGCGTGGTCTCCGTCCTTGCGGCCCCCCCGCCGGCTCCCGATGTCCCCCAGTGCTCTCCCGCGACGACGGCCGTGGACGATTCCGGCGCCGCGGGCAGCTTCAGCGCCAGCCCGCGGGGGGGAACGCTTCGGCGTGCAGGGCGCAACCTCCTGTTGTTCGTCAAGCTCACCTGGGCCGCGGCGCCAGACGCCCGTGACCAATGGGACTCGTTCGTTTCGGATTTTAGGGAAAAGGGCATAGGGCGGGCGCGTCCCGAGGATGTCCCAACCCTCGTCCCGCTCGACTTCCTCGGCTCGAAGGGGACCATCGTGGTCCAGGTCAGGAGGACGCTGCAGGCTGGTGGTGGGGCGGCCTGGCGCAGGTTTAGTGTTCGGCACGACGGTGGGGCCCACGACCTCGGTTGGCACGATGCCACCTTCCTCCGCCGCTTCTTCGCCAGCATGAGCCAGTTTGAGCACCCGTGTGCCGCCGCCCCAGGGGGGCCCGTCCGCGCGGGCCAGCGAACAGCGCGGCCGCCCTGCCGCCCAACTGGCGGGTCCCCGCCGCCCTTCCCGCGCGCCCACACCCCGGCGTTGCGAGCCTCCTGTCTGTCGCGTCCTGCCCTGCTGGCCCACCGTCCAGGTGCCTCAGTGCCCCCGCGCTCGTCGCGACCGCTGCCCCCCCCCCCCGCCCAGTTGGCGGTTCCATGCCCGTCGCTGCCCGCCCTGCCGGCCGACGCGCCCGCCCGCCCAACAGGTGGTCCCTTCGCCTCCCTGTTCGTGGTCATTTCTCCCTCCCCCTGTCCGCTTTCCTTGAGGCGTGTGGCCCTTTGGGCTGGGCGCCTTTCCGCACCTGGCTTGGCACCTCCTCGGTTCCCTCCCTCACCTCCCCACATTGCGCCGTACTTCCCGTTTGTGACGCGCGTCGCTCTCTCACTGTCCCCTGCACCATTTCGGTGCTTCTCTGCTGCACCGCGGTGGACCGCCCACAAGGCCGCCCCGCGTTGCTACCCGGCTTCGGCACCTTTCGGTGCCCCCCTCCTTCCGCGGCAGCCCCGCGTTGCCTCCTCCTGTTGCGTGGCTGTTCCGCCCCGCCCTGCGGGCGCCTGGGACGCTCCGCCGCCTCCTGTCCCGCCTGTTCCGGCCCCATGGCCACCTGGCGCGCCCCGGGCCGCCGCAATACTCCTGTCATTGCCTCTGCCACCGCTCTCGCTTCCGCACGGCTCAGTGCTTTGCCTTTTCTTCGGCGCGCCGCGGTACCTCTGCCGGGTGTCCCACTGCGCCCGCCCGCCAGCTCCAGCTGCTGGCAGTCGCCCTCCCGCCACCCTTGCCACCGTGGTTCGCCACGGCCGCCCACCGCGCTCTGGCCCTGCGCGCCTGGCTGCTGCTGTCCCCCCCTGGCTGTTCATCGTCGAACTTTTCGGCGTCTGAGCGTTCCTTTCTCCTTTCGGCCGTCCCCACCCTGTCTCTGCCCGTTGGCCAAATCGCTAATTCGTGTCCCTTTCTAGCTTCTCGCTGGAGCGGAGTTCGCCGCTTCGCCGCTGACGAATGTGTGTGTGTGTGTGTGTGTGTGTGTGTGTGTGTCTTGGCATTGCTCGGACGTGTGCATTTTTTCGGCGCGGACCACCGGGGAGCATCTAGGATCATTATCCTGGCAACGCAACCTAACAGCGATGAGTAGGAGCATATCTGGAAGCATTCCCCCCAAAATTCAGATGAGAATCCTGTTGTAGAATTCTGCTGTTCTCGCAGTCGTAGTCGCATTCGCGATGGCAGTCGCAGTGGCAACGGCAGTCGCAGTCACAGCCTCAGCCTCAGCCTGCCTCAGCCTCAGCCTCAGCCTCAGCCTCAGCCTCAGCCTCAGCCTCAGCCTCAGCCTCAGCCTCAGCCTGCTTCAGCCTCAGCCTCAGTCTGCCTTCAGCCTCGGCCTCAGCCTCAGCCTGCCTCAGCCTCAGCCTGCCTCAGCCTCAGCCTCAGCCTCAGCCTGCCTCAGCATCAGCCTGCCTCAGCCTCAGCCTCAGCCTCAGCCTCAGCCTGCCTCAGCCTCAGCCCTCAGCCTCAGCCTCAGCCTGCCTCAGCCTCAGCCTCAGCCTCAGCCTCAGCCTCAGCCTGCCTCAGCATCAGCCTCAGCCTCAGCCTCAGCCTGCCTCAGCCTCAGCCTCAGCCTGCTTCAGCCTCAGCCTCAGTCTGCCTTCAGCCTCGGCCTCAGCCTCAGCCTGCCTCAGCCTCAGCCTGCTCAGCCTCAGCCTCAGCCTCAGCCTCAGCCTCAGCCTCAGCCTCAGCCTCAGCCTCAGCCTCAGCCTGCCTCAGCCTCAGCCTCAGCCTGCCTCAGCCTCAGCCTCAGCCTGCTTCAGCCTCAGCCTCAGTCTGCCTTCAGCCTCGGCCTCAGCCTGCCTCAGCCTCAGCCTGCATCAGCCTCAGCCTCAGCCTCAGCCTGCCTCAGCATCAGCCTGCCTCAGCCTCAGCCTCAGCCTGCCTCAGCCTCAGCCTCAGCCTGCTTCAGCCTCAGCCTCAGTCTGCCTTCAGCCTCGGCCTCAGCCTCAGCCTGCCTCAGCCTCAGCCTGCATCAGCCTCAGCCTCAGCCTCAGCCTGCCTCAGCATCAGCCTGCCTCAGCCTCAGCCTCAGCCTGCCTCAGCCTCAGCCTCAGCCTGCTTCAGCCTCAGCCTCAGTCTGCCTTCAGCCTCGGCCTCAGCCTCAGCCTGCCTCAGCCTCAGCCTGCATCAGCCTCAGCCTCAGCCTGCCTCAGCATCAGCCTCAGCCTCAGCCTCAGCCTCAGCCTGCCTCAGCCTGCCTCAGCCTCAGCCTCAGCCTGCTTCAGCCTCAGCCTCAGTCTGCCTTCAGCCTCGGCCTCAGCCTCAGCCTGCCTCAGCCTCAGCCTGCATCAGCCTCAGCCTCAGCCTCAGCCTGCCTCAGCATCAGCCTGCCTCAGCCTCAGCCTCAGCCTGCCTCAGCCTCAGCCTCAGCCTGCTTCAGCCTCAGCCTCAGTCTGCCTTCAGCCTCGGCCTCAGCCTCAGCCTGCCTCAGCCTCAGCCTGCATCAGCCTCAGCCTCAGCCTCAGCCTGCCTCAGCATCAGCCTGCCTCAGCCTCAGCCTCAGCCTGCCTCAGCCTCAGCCTCAGCCTGCTTCAGCCTCAGCCTCAGTCTGCCTTCAGCCTCGGCCTCAGCCTCAGCCTGCCTCAGCCTCAGCCTGCATCAGCCTCAGCCTCAGCCTCAGCCTGCCTCAGCATCAGCCTGCCTCAGCCTCAGCCTCAGCCTGCCTCAGCCTCAGCCTCAGTCTGCTTCAGCCTCAGCCTCAGTCTGCCTTCAGCCTCGGCCTCAGCCCCAGCCTGCCTCAGCCTCAGCCTGCCTCAGCCTCAGCATCAGCCTGCCTCAGCATTCAAAATGTGTCCCGGGAATGGAGTTCTGGGATTTCGAAGTAGCCTACAGTTGGCTCCGGGCATTCAAACTCATGCCCAGGAATGGAGTTGTGGGAACTCGAAGACCACGAAGTGGCTTACAGTTGGCTCCGGGCATTCAAAATGTGCCCCGGGAATGGAGTTCTGGGAACTCGAAGAGCACGAAGTGGCCTACAGTTGGCTCCGGGCATTCAAAATGTGGCCCGGGAATGGAGTTCTGGGAACTCGAAGAGCACGAAGTGCCCTACAGTTGGCTCCGGGCATTCAGAATGTGGCCCGGGAACGGAGTTCTGGGAACTCGAAGAGCACGAAGTGCCCTACAGTTGGCTCCGGGCATTCAGAATGTGGCCCGGGAACGGAGTTCTGGGAACTCGAAGACCACGAAGTGGCCTACAGTTGGCTCCGGGCATTCAGAATGTGGCCCGGGAATGGAGTTCTGGGACCTCGAAGACCACGAAGTGTGTAACTGTTGGCTAAACAAAATCCCCGGCACCCTCCCCCGGATCGCGCCCAGACCCCCATGGAGCGTCATGATGCTCTCTTTTGACCCTATTAGAAACCTATCAGTCTTCGCTGTTAGGTAATTATGCGGAAAAGAAAGCGCCCGAAACCGAAACATGCATGGGGAATAGACGCCCGAGCGATGGCAGTGTGTGTGCGTATGTTTCGAGGAATTGCGTATCCCATGAGGCGCACCCCTGCGAGGTTTTCGGACATTCTCTGCGGTTCCTCGGCGGTTTCCCAGCATCGGGGTGCCCTCGAGCAGCTGCGCTCGCCGAGATCATTCTCGGGGTGCCTAAATCATCCCGAACGGTCACCCGAGACCCGAGTTATTCTAGGCCTCCTAGATCGGGTCGGAGTGGGTGGTGTCGGGGGATCGCGCCGCATCGGCGGTGCATCGGCGATGCAGCTCGATGTGGAGCCTGATTTTCTCCACGCCGATGTCGCCGATGCTTCACCGACGTCGCCGATGCATCGCCGATGCGGCGTGATCCTCCGACCCTATGTGCCCGGACCCCATCCAGGAGGCCTCCAGTTATGGCCCCAAGACCACCACGGCATAGACTCAGGGGGGCACCAGGGCATAGACTCAGGGGGGCAATGCGTCAACTCTCCTGGCGCCCATGTCCCAGCGATGGGGGAGGGGGCCCGATAGCCCACCCTGCCCAGCAACGTGCGGGCTCGCTGTCGGGGGCTTGTCGCCGTTTTTCATCGGCGATTTATCGCCGATTCAAGGCCGATGTTCCCCTCCTTGGGCAGGTCCCTGTCGAAAATGCCTCCCCTCTCCCTCCCCTCCTCCTCCTCCTCCTCCTCCTCCTCCTCCTCCTCCTCCTCCTCCTCCTCCTCCTCCTCCTCCTCCTCCAGGTCGGGCACGCCTGGCTTCATCCGCGGCTACAACGCCACCTCCGGCAGGAAGCTGTGGGAAGTGGACACGCCGGAGCCGCCGGCCAGCGCCAGCGTCGGCAAGCTCAACAGCCCTTCGTTCCACACGCGCCTCGCCGTCACCATGGGCCACAACTGCTACCTTGGCTCCCCCTCCAAGTTCTGGCTCATGGACCCGAACACCGGCGACATCAGGAAGATGCTCGAGGGGCCGACGCTGTGGACTGGCTTCTGTGCCGGTGACAAGGCCCTCCTTCTCCTCCTCCTCCTCCTCCGCTTCCTCCTCCTTCTCCTGCGCCTCCTCCTCAGGAGGGTGCCGACATCCGCCGGGCCATGGGCGGGAGGGAGAAGTGCTCGCCGAACAGCTGGTCCACGCCCGTGATCGATTCGGCTGGCGACGTGTACGTCGGCAACCAGGTGGGGTGGTGGTGGTTGTGTGGTCCCAGGCCTTCAGCGTCTTGAACAAAAATGTGTAAGTTGGCCGTGCTTGAGTCGCATAGCGGCAGTCACGGTGGGCCTGGGAAACTCGCCTGCAGATTTTGCAATCAGTGTGTGTTCGGGATCCTGACTTTGACGAGTGTTGGTGCCAGTCGTTTCAATTTTTCTCAGGGCCGTCTTGGCGTCCCTTGGGGATGTAAGCTGTCTGCGGAGCCAACAGAGGGCGTTTGGGGGTCCATGGGGCAATGAGTGCGTGAAGCTTTACTTCTGAAGACGTCCCGAGCGAAGCAACATGTTCTTGGTATATGCAGAATCTCCTCCGACGGCGAAAGCGGCAATGCTTTGAGATTAGGAGTCCCCTATGAAGCCGATATTTCGAGGATGTCTCGAGGGAAGCGGCAATCTTTTTAGATCCAGATTCTCGTCCGAAACCAATTTAGTCGAGGATGTTTCGAATGAGAACAGTCATTTTATTAGATTTCGAGTCCCCTCCGAAGCTTATCAGTCGAGGATTTCTGGAGCGAGATGGCCATTTTTGAGGGGATGGGCACGAAACCTGTCACACTGCAGCAGCATCAGTGGGGCAGCGGAATGCGTGGAGCCGCTCCCCGCATGCCTTTACTTCCTCCGTCCTCCTCAATTCCACCGTCTACACTCGAATCTTCACACGGCGAAGGCCGGCACGGGGCCCGCCGATGGGGGCAGGCACCGTCGCCCCACTTCCCTTGGGCCTGGTCGCTGCTGTCCGGGACAGTACGGCGGGGGCGTTGGTCAAGGAATGTTCCCACGAGGCTGCAGACCCTGGATGGTTCCTCATTTGATGAGGGCTGCGGTGGATATCCAAGGCCAGTCCACAACAGGCCCTGGATTCCATATCCAATGGTTCCTTTGTCCAACGCCCTTACCGTTAGGATCGTGCGGGAATGGAAGCTGAGGAGGGTACGGAGGAAAACCCAGAGGGGAGGCAGAGGCAGAAGTGAGAATTGGAGATAGGGGGAATGGCAGGGGGAGGATTTGGAGGAGGAAAAGGGGAGGAACGGGCGGAGTAGTAGTAGTAGTAGTAGTAGTAGTAGTAGTAGTAGTAGTAGTAGTAGTAGTAGTAGTAGTAGTAGTAGTAGTAGTAGTAGTAGTAGTAGTAGTAGTAGTAGTAGTAGTAGTAGTAGTAGTAGTAGTAGTAGTAGTAGTAGTAGTAGTTAGTAGTAGTAGTAGTAGTAGTAGTAGTAGTAGTAGTAGTAGTAGTAGTAGTAGTAGTAGTAGTAGTAGTAGTAGTAGTAGTAGTAGTAGTGTAGTAGTAGTAGTAGTAGTAGTAGTAGTAGTAGTAGTAGTAGTAGTAGTAGTAGTAGTAGTAGTAGTAGTAGTAGTCGTAGTAGTAGTAGTAGTAGTAGTAGTAGTAGTAGTTGTAGTAGTAGTAGTAGTAGTAGTAGTAGTAGTAGTAGTAGTAGTAGTAGTAGTTGGTAGTAGTAGTAGTAGTAGTAGTAGTAGTAGTAGTAGTAGTAGTAGTAGTAGTAGTAGTAGTAGTAGTAGTAAGTAGTAGTGTAGTGTAGTAGTAGTAGTAGTAGTAGTAGTAGTAGTAGTAGTAGTAGTAGTATAGTAGTAGTAGTGTAGTAGTCGTAGTAGTATTAGTAGTAGTAGTAGTAGTAGTAGTAGTAGTAGTAGTAGTAGTAGTAGTAGTCGTAGTCGTAGTCGTAGTCGTAGTCGTAGTCGTAGTCGTAGTCGTAGTCGTAGTCGTCGTCGTCGTAGTAGTAGTAGTAGTAGTAGTAGTAGTAGTAGTAGTAGTAGTAGTAGTAGTAGTAGTAGTAGGAGGAGAATGAGGATCTTATACTCTTATGCCCTCTCGGGTTACAAACATGACACTTCGAGTCCGCTCAACGCAAAATGGTGCAGGAGGATGTGGAGGAATGTGTGGTTGAGGAGGATGAGGAGGAGTGACAGGATGACGGTGATGAGGTGGAGGAGTGCTGGTGAGGTGCGAGGAGGTGATATCATGGTGAGGGGCTTGTGAGGATAATGTGAAGGAAGAGGGCGCAGATAAGGAGGAGGCTGAGGAGAAGGAGGAGGGAACGCAACAGTAGGGGCAGGTGCAGGTGGTTGTTCGGATGGAGGAGGTGGAGGAGGAGGATGACGGCGGGGACAGCGACCACGTCGTCCACGAAGGCGACGACCACAAAGATATGGACGACGACGGCGACGACGACGACGAAGAACTCGACGACAACCACGATGATGGGCTGTACGCCCCTGAGGGGACAGACACCAGCGGCCCACTCTTGTCGCAGGTGGTCGCTGTGATGCAAACGTAGCCAGGTGGGATGGCCGTGGACAGACTTTTTGGGGGCGTGGTGGGCGCAGAAGAGGGCCACGTAAAGGTGTGTCTTATACGGCCCCGGCGGGCAGGAGAACATAGAAAAACTGGCTTCAGACACAGTTCGAAAATTAACCCAAACGCATCGAAAACGGCGGGCGAAACCACAAGAGGCAGACCAGGAGGCACAAGGGGCCCGAGAAGATGTGTTCGGACCTTTGGAAGGGCCTTCAGGGGCCACCGCGGGGCGCCCAGGACGGGTGCAAAAAGCTCCAAGAGGGTGGCCAGACGGTCCAAGATTTCTCCGAGATGCCTTGGGATGGCCCACGAGTCCGTCAAGATATCCCAAGGTAGCTGGAGAGGCACCACGAGTGTCACGAGAGATCCCAAGAGACCCCACAGGGGCGGGAATGCGAGACCGAGGCGGCCCAAATCGGCACCGTGCAGTGGAAGGCTTCGAGGCAGCCCAAGAGGGCCCCAACAACGTGCCAAGTTTGCCCAAGATGGCCCCAAAAGGCCCCCAGTCTGGAGAGGACCCAAGCGGTGCCCAGAGGCGTCTGGACGTTTCTCCCGCGTGAAGACGTCTTCGATGTGGGTGCACAGGTGGCGGAGCGGGCAGCGGACGCCCAGGACGCTCACTGGTTGGTGGGGCACCCTAGCTCTGGAGTAGACCCACTGGAAGATCCTCAGGCTACCCCTCGATGTCGAGCGGGTGGAGGATGCCTGCTTCACCGCGAAGTCACCGACGAAGGACGCAGAGCGCCAGCTCGCACGTCGCCGCCAAGTACCTCGCACGCGTCATAGGCGACGGACCCGCCTGGTAGGTGATCCATCCGGATTTGCTCGTCACTCGGGGCTGCGACGCCCAGAAATAGTGTGGGAGGGAGAACTTCCCCTCCAAATGGCCGCGTTCGTGTGCAAACTCGGGGCGTTCCTGCCGCAACTGCCGGAAAGACGGCTGGGCGTGGTTGCAGTACTTGCACGGGTGCGGGCATTGCCGGCGTGTGGATGTAGTCCTCGCACCACTGCGGTAGATGGTGAGAAGTTTCTTGTCGTTCTCGTTCAGCTTGGAGTACCATCTCGCGAAGAAGCGGTGCGACGACGCGTCGACGTCGACATTGTCAACCTCCTCGCTGTCGAGCCGGGTTTGTCGCACCTGCTGGAGGCAGCGGGTGCGCGCGACCGCGCGCAGCGCGTGGGCTGCCTTCTAGTGTGTGGTCCAGAAGCGCTGGGAGTTAGCGCCGCGGACCTGTCGCGTCACCTGCAGGACGCGGTGGTCGTCGGTGGGGGGCACCTCGAGCTGCGCGCCGCGGGTGTCGTCGCTGTACGTGATGAACGTCAGGCCCAGGGACGCGCCGTGCGCCGTGATGGCGTTCTGCACGAAGTCGATCCAGACCAGCTTGGAGTGGGAGACGGCGTGGAGGCTCTGGAGAGCCTGCGAGTACTGCGGATGCAGATTGGTGTGGAGGGCCCAGAAACGGCCGTAGCACCACCAAGTGCAGCGTGTATTGAGCAAGGCCCGGAACAAGCGCCTGGTGTAGTCCGCCGGGACATGGGTCAGCAGCGGCGCCGCCCAGGTCCAGTGTGGCCGGATGTAAGCGATGGCGAGGATGATGCGCACCGCGAAACTGCCCGGGAGGCCGTGCAGAATGCCGATGCCGTTCTCGATCTTTGCCCAGCCCTTTCGCGGCAGGATGGGCGCATAGGGGTGCGTGGGGACGGCCGTGAGGCCGAGGTGCTCGATGCGCTTGGGCGGGTCGTCGGCGACGCTCCAGGTCTGCCGTTTGCTGGCGTTCTCCGTGAAGCCGACGTCGTTGTCGAAACTCGTGATCATGGCGACGTCAGCCGCGAGGGCAGCCTCGTCGGTGCTCCGGTCGTCCATGTACGCCGGGCCGGAGTCGGGCGCCCACGGCGTAAGGGCGCCGACCATAGCATTTGGGGCGAGGCTGTCGCCCTGGAGGAGCCCGCGCTTCGGCCAGATCGGTTGGCTGAGCTCGCCTCCCATCGTGCAGAACCATGGAGCGCGCCACGCCGCCGCGCACAGTCGAGTGATGCGTGGCGGCATGCCCTGCCGCTCGAAAGCGTCCTCCGCGATAGCGAAGTCGATGTTGTCGTGCGCCTTGGACAAGTCGTGTTCCGAGCCCGCCCCGCTGAGAGTGCAGGGGTGGAGCCGCGACGAGATGGCGTGGGTGGCGCTGGTGGCGCGTCGGCACGACCACTGGTGGGTCGGCGGCTCGGGGGCTGCCCCTGCGAGGGCGGACAGCCAGAGGCGCAGGATGCAGGAGCCCACGGCGATGGGCCTCGAGTCGTCCTCGTTCTTCGGAATGGCCGCGATCTTCCAACTGAGCAGTTGCATGGCCGCGGTGTCGTTGATGCCGTCGGTGGCTATCTCGCGGGTGGTGTTGCACCACAAGTTGTAGAGCTCGTGCATGATTTCCGGGGCCAGCCTTGCGACGAGACGGAGCTCCGCGCCCGTCCAGCCGTCGAAGCCAGCCGCGCCCTTGGAGCGTTGGACCGCGTTGTCGAAGACGTGGTAGTAGGGCAGCCAGTCGGTTGCCTGGCCGGAGCGCGGGAAAGCGACGTTTGCCGCTCAGGAGCGCCAGCGCTGGAGGTGGCCGTCGGCGTCGTGGTTGGGTGGGTCCCACTGCTGCTGCCGCGTCTGCCAGAAAGTGTCGACGTCTTGGCGCGCTGCTGGTGGAGTGCCCCTGAACATTGGCGTGGTGGTGGTCCAGAGCGACGTTGGCCACTCAGCGAACTTGGCGCGCCAGCGGGCGGCAGCGTCCTTGGCAGCCAGCCGCTCGCACTCGTTGATCCCTGACGTAAGGACCAGACATCGATGGCGTCGTTGTAGGTGGGAGTGCCGTCGGCCAGCTGGATGTGGCCGTCCAGACCCAAGCGAGCGTAGCAGTCCAGGTGGTGTGGTGAGAGGTACTGCGGACGCGGGTCGCGTCGAAGCACCTCGGCAAAGCGACGTTGGAGTCGAAGTGGACGTCGGTGGGCGACCGTCTGTGGAGGTCGGAAAGATGAGGGCGTGGCAGTCGGGCGCATCTTGGGGGGGGTGCCCTTCGCCCTCTCCCCGGGGCGTGTGATGTAAACCCAGCCGAGCCGGACACCCTCCTTGAGGGTCTGCTCTGCTCGTGCATGCCAGTTGGCCCAGTGGTCGGTCAGGCTGGCGCCGGCGGGTGTGCAAGGCACCTGCTGGTCCACGGCATGCTGAATCAGCTCGACGTCGTCGGGGGTGCGCGTCAGGCCAGCGTAGCCTGCTGTGTGTGTGTGTGTGTGTGTGAGCCGTCTGCGGGGTCGCGGTGCAGGGTGGTGCAGTCGGACCGTGTAGTAGACGAGGGCGTGGTGAGGGATCCCGGGCAGCTGGAGTCGGTCATGGTACCCTCGTGTGGGCGTGTCTGGGCCTCCGAAGGCCAGAGCTCTGGTGGGTGCCGTCGCTGCCGTTGTCGTGGTGGTGGGCGGAGCCTTCGTCCAGCCGGCGGCGAAGGTCACGTCGTAGGAGGGCTTCCAATTGAAATCGCCGATGGCCAACAGCGGGTGGTTGTCGGTGACGGTCGATTCCAGATAGGCTCGTGCACGAGCCATCCAAGCGCAATCGGCCTGAGCAGGCCCGTAAATCGACAAGTAAACAGCGTGGGAGGTCCGAAGGCCAAGAACACGGTGGCCTAGGGCCTGGTCGCGGACGACGGTGGTCTTCCCTAGGGTCGGGCGCCGTAGAATGGCGGCGCCGCCGTTCGTCACAGCTTGTCGGTTGTTGCCAGGGGGAGGAGGGCTGAAGGCGATGCTCCAATCCCATGCCCTTGCAAGTGTGAATGCCCAACGGGGCCGAAGTCGATCGTGTCGCGTCTCCTGCAGGGGGGCGAGCTGGGAGTCTGCCTGGTGCAGTGCTTGGAGCAGGGTCTGCAGTCGGTCGCGTGTGAGTGCTGTAACGTTGATGGTAGCGGTCTTGAGCGCTGGAGTGGAGTCAGTGGGGTCGATGGTGGGAGACGGGCTCTCCTGGGGAGGAGGTGGTGGAGGCGGAGGTGCGCGAGCGCCGGCGGGCGCTGCTCCCCCCTGGAGAGGGTCCCGTCACTCGGCCGCGGCGGGCTGGCGCTTGGTGGCGGTAGTCTTCCGCCTGCGGGCGTTGATCTCCTCGGAGTGCGCAGCCCACCTCTTCTTGTGATACTTGAGGTAGCGGGCGCGGTGGAGGAGATAGCGAGTGTTATTCTTCGCTCGCTCCTGCGTCCTGTAATCAGGATCCGATCGACGACGCTTGCGCGAGGCCGCCATGGCATCCTTATGCTTCATGTTGGCGGCCGCCTTCCTGCTGTAGAAGGCCTGGGTCCGGCGACGGCCGATGAGGTGGATGAGGATCTGCTTGTAGGACTTCTGGGTGACCCACTTGGCGCAGGGGGTCGCCCGAGCCGGAGGGATGGTGCGCGCGACGCCGCAACGGGAGCAGGCGTAGGTGTTCCTGGTCACACTGCCGTCGGCGGCGCTCTTGTTGGAGTGCTGTGCCTCGTCGAGGTCGCAGATGCAGGCCTGCCAGTGGGCCGGCTGCTCGTCGTGCCACCGCCGGTACTTGGCGAAGTTCTGGCGGCAACGTCGCATCCGTGCGGCGGGGCCGTTCTCGAGGCGGGCGTTGGCGCGCTGCTCGGCCGTGTACTTCGGGGGCTCGGTGCCCTGGCGCGTCCGGAAGTGCCGCTTGGTCTCCGTCTCCCGCTGAAGGTGGCTGATCGTGTAATCAGGTCGCTAGCCGCAGGTAGAGCATGCGTAAAAAGGTGGTGGAGCACTAGGCCCCGCCGAGCCGGAGGCCCCCGGGGAGGGCCGAAAACCGGCGTCGTCGTCCGCCAGGGCCGAGGCCGAGTCGAGGCCTAGGGCTGCCCGCGCCCTGGTCGTCTTGCTGGTCTGGGCGGTAGCCGGGGTGTTGTCCAGGCCGAGGATGCGGCGGGCGTCGCTGGTGCGCCTGCTCTGGGCTGGACTGGACTGGATGCCGAGGTAGCTGCGGGCGTCCTCGCTTGGAGTGCGACCTCCGCCCGTGAATTTCGACGGGTACGGCAGGGCACGCTGCTCCCAGGCCGCCATGGTGGCGGGCGGGACCGGGCTGGTAGGGCGTAGAAGTTGAACGTGCTGGTCCTTGAGGGTTGAGCCAGATCATCTTCTTGAAGTTGCTGCCCTTGGTCGTGGGGGGGACGTACAGGGACCAATCGGAGCCTGACCAGCGCCAGATGCGGATGGAGTGCTTGGTGGCGCGAGCGGCGGCATGCACCGCCCTGGACGTAGCGCGCGTGCCGTGGATCGCGATCTTGGTGGCGGTGTCGTCCTTCTTTGTGTCGATGTCGTAGAACTGCGTGTTGTTGCGGAGCTCCGAGGAGACCAGGCAGCGCAATGCGGCCTGCTTGGGGCCTCCGGGCTTCAGTTCGCTGGCCTGGGGGGAAGGCGGGTTGGTCTTCTGCTTGTGGAGGGCCGTGGCGACACAGACGAAGAAACAGTCGCCCTCGCCGCCGCAGTCGGTCTGCTGGAAGTGGGAGGCCCAAGGTTCCACTCGGGCCTTGCGTGCTAGTTTTGGAGGCGGTGGTTGATCCGCCTGCTGGCTTGCGGCGGCCGGCGGTGGTGGGCCGCCTGCCTGGGCTGCGGCAGCCGGCGCTGGTGAGCCGTGACCGGGTTGTTGTGATTTGTCCGCCATTTCGTCGTCGGACTCCTCGGCGGGCTCGGCGGCAGGGTTGTCTTTAGGAAGTGGTGGGGCACCCGCGCGCTGGCAGCCTTCCGGCCGGGCTCAGGACGCTTGGGGGGCCGAGCGAGTGCAAGTGAAACCACGATGCCACTCTTGAAGGTGAGCTTTTGGCCGTTGTCGACATGGGAGGGGAGATCCCCTCGGAAAAACCAGAGGCGGCGGCCCGCTCTGGCGACGGAGGTCGCGTTCTGAAACCCGCGCTGCTCCGCCCAGGCCTTGCAGTCGTCGTTGGTGCTCCAGTCGATTGGGGATCGCTGCAAGCACCATCTGGGGGCGATCCCGCCGAGGTCGTGGGTCGGCTTCTCGCTGAGCACCCCGAGAGGCGAGTCGATGCCGTGGCGGTGGACTAGGCGGCCCCCAGCATCCGTCGCGATCTTCTCGACGCGCTTGTAGTAGGTGTCGGGTGTCTCCTGGGCCGTCTGGCGGTGCCAGGAGGGGATGTGTTTGGTGTTCTGGAGGTTGAAAACACGCCGTGCGGCAGCTTCGTGTTGAGCATGCCCTTGGTGGCGGTCTCGTTGGCGACCACTAAGCAAGTCAGCTCCTCGCCGTAATCGAGGGCGGCCTTCACCTTAATGATCCCCTTCTGGACGTCAGGGCCGAAGATGAACGTGGCCATGGCGATGGGCTTTTGCTGGAAGCGCGCGAACAGGTCGTCCGCGCAGAAGTCTTTGACGATCACCAGCCGGCCCGTTGACATCTTCGTCGCAGATGCCGTAGCCGTGCTGGGAGCCGTGTCGTCCTGGACGCCAGTAGGCAGCACGTGGCGCCTGGGCGCCTTGGCGCCGACGTAGATGACGAGTGCCTGGACGGGTTGTGCGCCCTGGCCCGATTCCACCAGCACCTCGATAGGCTCGCTGCCGTCGATGCGCGTGGGCTCGTTGAAGATGATGAAGGTGACGGACCGGTCAGCGCTGGGTCCCAGCGCCCTGAACCATTCGTCAACCTTGCTTGTCGTTGTCGGTGGCACTCTGACAGACAATGACCGGTGGGGCGTCGTTGCTGTAGGTGCGGTCTCGGATGGAGGCGGCCGTCCAAATCGGCGCTGGGCCCCACGGCGGTGGGGAGACCCTGAAAGTCGGTCTCGAATTCTTGGGCCTGGGAAGGGCCGGGGGAGACGCCGAGGCCGATGCAGACGTGGGTGAGTCTTTGATCAGTGCCCGTAATTGCTGCAGGACCTGGTCATGTGTCGGGTTGGAGTCGGTTGCGTCTACCTGCTGGAGTAGATCGCGGATCTTCGTGAGGATGGGTGGCTCCTGTGGTCGCGGCTGCTGTGGTCGTGGTTTGGGTGGTTTCTTGCGTGGCGTGGTAGGCTGCTTGGCAGGTTTACGTTGGCCCATATCGCTCATAATACGGGTCAGTGACTGCTGCATGTCAAAAATACGCTGCGCAAGCTGGGCATCCAGGCGACGCCCCTTCGTCACCTTTGCACCGCTCTTGCTACTCTTCCGGGCGCCTCCTCCGTACAGCGGGTCGCTGATGTCGGAGTCGTCGTAGTCGGATGCGGTCGTGGAGGACATGAGCACCTCGTCGGACAGCGAGCCGTCGATGTCAGAGTCAAAACTGCTGAGGTCATAGATCTCATGTGCGGCGGGAGCCGCGATTGTGGTGTCATTCGCCTCGGCCAAGGGGGCCGACCCGACGATTCCGAGGGCGCCGAGGATCCAGTAGATCGCGCCCAGGAGGAAGACACCGATTTCGTCGACGCCCACGACGCAGCCGGGGCCCTCGTGCAGGCAAAAGAAGCAGGCCGCGGGGAGAACCCCAGGAGGGGTGTGCTCCACTTTGGGCCCTCAGCCGAGGTGGAGGGGCAGGACAGGTGGCTGCACGCGCACTACGGACCACAGCCAGTAGCACATCACAGCAGGAGGGGTGTCGAGGGTTCTGCAGGGCTCATGTCGATTTCTCCGATTCAATTCGAGTCGATTTCGATGGGTTTCGATTCCGATTCGATTTGACTTCGGATTCCGATTCGGGATCCGATTTCTCGACGGTGGCTTGCTAGCCTGTCGATTTCTGCCGATTCGACGTTTCTGGACTGAGCTGCCGATTTCCGCCAATCCGATCGATTTCGATCGCGGATCCGACATCGATTCGATTTTGGGCTCTCCCGGTTCCGAGGACGAGAAGCGCGTAGGCCAGAGGATTGAGACAAGAACAGGGTTTTGCCGACCACGATGTGGGGACCTCGCACGCCGTATCCGGTGGGGCGGCGGATCGCCTCGCTCATTCCGCCGGCCCATATTACAGCACCGTTGGCATTTGTGTATGTTGGGAAGTTCCACGGATGAGAGGGTAGGGCGCGAGGGATCATGCAGGTGCACGCGGAAGGGACCGCTCACTTCTTGGAAGGTATGGGCGAAGTCCGTATAGTCAGGGGTAGCTTCTGGGGGATTCTTGTAATTCGCTGGAAGAAATCTGGGGGTTCTGTTGCTATTTGTGGGCCAGGTGAGTTGCGTTGATCAGGACAGCGTAGAATGCAGTGGACCAAGCTTTGTATCGGCCTGATCAGACCCAGGAAGAGGACGAGAACGAGTAGGATGACGAGGAGGCGGAGGAGGAGGAGGAGGAGGACGATGCCGAGAAGGAGGAGGAGGAGGAGGCCGACGAGAAGGAGGACGAGCAGGAGGAGGAGGAGGAGGTGGAGGAGGACGAAAAGGAGGACGAGGAAGACGAGGAGGGCGAGGAAGAAGACGAAGACGAGGAGGAGGAGGAGGAGTAGGAGGATAATGATGAGGAGGGGGATGAGGATGAGGAGGGGGAGGAGGTGCAGGAGGAGGTGGAGGAGGAGGAGGAGGAGGACGAAGACTCTGGCAGCCCTCTGGTGTCTTCTGGAGGCCCTCATAGGGTTCTCTTGGGGCTCTTCGGCGGCTCTCTTCGGGCCCTCTTGGGGCCATTTTGGAGGGTCTTGGGGTCATCTTGGAAGTCTTTTTGGGGGTGGGGTCTTGGGGTTCTTGGGGAGCCCTCTTGGGGGCTTCTTTGGAGTCTTGGAGGGCCTCTTGGGGCAATCTTGGAAGGCTTCGATCAAAAAAGGGGGGTCCCCGAATTGCCTCCCCCCCGCTTGGGCTATCACAATAGCCTTTTGGCAGTTCTTGGGGCGCCCTTGGGACGCTCTTGGGCGTTTTGGGGCCGTCTTGGGGGCCTCTTGGCCCCTATTGGGGCTCTCTTGGGCCATCTGGGAGCCATTTTGAGGCCTCAAAGCCGCATCGTAAGCAATATGGCGAGACCATACTCATTATTGATTTTCCTTAGGTCCTTGAAGCAGGATTTTGGCCTCCTGAGGAAGTCCTGAGGGGGCTCCGACAGTACTGGAGCCGTCTTGCGGTCCTCTTGGGGCCTCTTGGAGGCATGTCGGAAGCCATCTTGAACCATCTTCGGCTATCTGGAGCCATCTTGGGAGCCATCGTGGAGCACCCCGCGCCGTCTTGGAGCCATCTTGGGCCACGAAAGACCCTCTGACACATCGCGGGGTGGGGGGGTGGGGGGGGGCAAACATCCCCAGGGAGGGGTGAGAGAGGGTACCCCTCCCCGAAGGGAAGAGCGTCTTGGAAGAGGAAAGAAGGATATCGGTAGACCACCTGCGCCCAGATGGCTGGTGGGATTTGGGACCACGCTGGGGTTTGGGGGTCACCTTCAGCTCTGATGCCCCATACCGGTTATTTTTTGGCGTGTGCATGTCTTGTTTGATGCACTGTCGGGGCGCTTCTGGGGTCATCGGCTCTCTCTTCCCGCTCTCCTGGTTTACGTTTGGAGCTATGTTCCAAGATGCTGGCGCCCTCTTGAGGCCTCAGATGGCCATACGAACCGAGCAGGGCGGGGCAACCCAGAATCACTGAAGACGCAAGGGTTTTTCAAGGATTTGAGCCTACTGAGGGCCTCTTTAGCGCTGTCTCTGACCATCCTGAGCCACCTTTGGGCCATCTTGGGAACTTTTTGGGCTGTCTTCGGGGCATCTTGGGGCCTGCTATCTATGGATCCCCAGTGGTGCGCCCTTCTGAGCACTATGGAAGCTCTCTGGGGCCTCTCCCGGGGGGCTCTTGTGAGTCCTCGGAGCCCTGGGGCCCTTCACCCCCACCTTGGAACAATCGTGGGCAATGTTGGAGCCCTCTCGAGGCACGAGAAGCCCATAGGAAGCAAAACGAGAGACCTCAGAAATCATATGTTTGCTGCCGTCGGCCGCTCTTGGGCCACCTCGGAGCTAGCATGGGGCCTTTCAGAGCCCTCTCGGAGCCGTTCCGGTCCCCACTTGGGGGGACGTACAGGGCGATATTGGGGCCACCTTGAGGCCCGAGAAGCCGAGAAATCAGACATCAGTGAAGAGCCTTATGTTTTGCACGATTTTGGCCTCCTGGGCACCTCTTGTGGAGTACCTGGGACTATTCTGGGCCACCTCGGGGCTCTCTTTGGGCCTGCCACCCACTGATCCCCGCTCCCGTTCCGCTCCTGGGGCTCTCTTGGAGCTCCCCTGGGGCGATTCTGGGGCCGCACTCCGGGAGCAGAACGCGAAACTATCTCTGAGCCCCGCCTTGCCAGGACCTCGGCATGACCTGCTAGAGTGCTTCTCCTCTGGGGTCGGACCCCCAGGGGCCGCCATGTGCGCGCGCGCGAACTAGTGTCACACAGCTACTCTGGACCTCTCACCAGAGAATTTGGCACGCCGTTGGCTCGTTGGGTCGGCGAACTTCGGGCTTCCAGGGGCTGTTTCGGGGCCCCGTGGCCGTAACAAAAATGATCCAGGATGAGAAGCCAGCCATGACAGAAAAATTCACGACGCCAGAGGTCTGGGATGGTGGCGGTGGTGACTGCGGTGGTGGTCCTGCTACGGCTGCTCCTCTCTCCGCTGCTCCTGCTCCCCAGTATCGTTTAACCGATCCATATCCCCATCCCCATCCCATCCCCATCCCCACCCCGAGCCCCACCATCCCACCACCCCAGTTGGGGATAATTTCCTGGAAACCCGAACGGAGCAGCCTATATCCCCATCTAGGGGGGTCGTCCAGTGGGGCCTAGGCCACGCCGATGGGTATGGGGATCGGCTAAACTATGCTCAGCTGCTCCTCTCCTTCACCACGCATCGGCTATCAGGTCGGTGAGCTATACAGGTACGGCGCGCCAGGCGGCGGCTGGCATGCCGAGCTGCTCTCGACCCTGACCATCGGCGTGGCCACCCCCGATGCAGCCATCGCGATCGGCAACGGCCTTCGGCGGCGAAATCGAAACTCTACCTTCGCAGATCAACGATTCGGGTAACTCGAAGGGTGGCGGGTGTAGGGTTCGGAATTCGTCGACCACGTGGCGAAATCCGAACCCTACCCCCGCCTCCCATCGGTTCAGGAGAATCGATGGTTGGCAGGGGTGGTTCGGATGTCTCCACCTAGGCCTCATGGCCGTGACCACGTGCACCTCCCTCATTGTCTTTCAGACCTATTCGAATCAGTGGTCACAGGGGAACTGGTCTGTCTCGCACAGCGAGTACACACCGAGCAATCACATGGTTCACGGCGAGGAGATCTCCCACCAGATCTCGGAGGAGAGCCACGGGGACCCCTCTGTCACGCCCAAGGTCGACTCGGACGACATCTGGTCGAACGACCAGCCCTTCTACGACCCGAACATCGACGGGACCTCCGACTACCGGTGATAGATATTCTTGGGACCACGACTGCCAGTGAGTGGTCGCGGCGAGCATGTGCGGGGATTTATCTGAGCATTTTGGTCAAAAGGTAACTCCCTGACGCTTCGCGTGCCATCACCGGCCCATACAGAGACGACTTGTGGGCGAGTTGTATTAAGAAGGGCACTGGAGTAGAGCGCGACCTCGACGCCCCCGGCACCAGGCACCACCAAGATATGATTTGCATATTGAAGGCTATTGGTCCGCATCAGAGCTTCGTGCGAGGAGAGCGTGAAAACGAGAGGGGAGATAACGTTGAAACCCAAATAGGGATCAGCCCGAGCACGCTCAACAATCGGATACCTGAGCACCTCTCAGAGCTTTCGAAGAAGACAAAACGGCATGAGCATAAACTTTCCACGATCCGCGCGGATTTCTTGGATCTGCGCTGGTACCCCCTCCTTGGCGCGCGGAGCGCGCCAGGAGCGGCGCTGGAGAGGGTGTCCAGCGCAGATTCGAGAAGTCCGTGCGGATCGTGGAAAGTTCCCCAATCAGAGCTTGCCTCTGTAGGGGTCCTAGCGGATTCATATGGTTAGGTGAGGTGGGGCGCCGATTTCGGCGGCACGCCCAGGTGCCCAGGTGCCCGGGTGCCACGGTGAGGTTCCCCGCCGGTTTCCGCGGTGCCCGAGTGCCCAGGTGCCTGGGTGCCAAGGTGCCCCGGTGCCAAGGTGCCCCAGTGCTTTATAGCCCTGTAGCCCTATAGCCCTATAGCCCTATAGCCCTACTATAGCCCTACTATACTATAGCCCTACTATAGCCCTACAGCCCTACAGCCCTACAGCCCTATAGCCCTGTAGCCCCATAGCTTGATAGCCCTATAGCCCTACCTATAGCCCAATCGCCCTGTAGCCCTATAGCCCTATTGCCTTATAGCTCTATAGCCCTATAGCCGTATAGCTTTAAAGCCCTATAGCCCTATAGCCCTATAGCTGGATAGCCTTATAGTCCTATATGCCTATAGCCCTACATGCCTTTAACCCTATATGCCTATAGCCCTATAGCCCTATGGTCCTACAGCCCTATAGCCCCATAACCCCATAGCCCTATAGCCCTAAAATGATGATGATTGGGTCTTTCTCTGGCATCATTTATGCTCATGCCGTTCTGTTTTCCTCTAATGTTGTAGGGATCTTTGAGCGCTCTGGGGGCCTTTTGGGACTCAGACGCACTCTCGGGAGGCAACCTGGGGCCCCTCTTGGCGTGCCCGTCTTTCGGCCCCTCGTGGAGCCATCCCCGAAGACATCCTGGACAAACATCACATCCTCGATTCTTGACGATTCGCGTATCCCTACCAGTCCATCCTGAAACGATGCCCAGGTGAGTTGCCTGGGTCAGGGAAGTGTAAGAGCAAGCAGTGGAGCAAAGAGGGGTGGCAGCTATCAACAACCAATGCAAAGTGGCCGCGCGACGCCCGCGCATACTTCATATTTGGAGGCAACGTGTATTATGTATTGCTTTCTGACAGGGATGCTCGGCCTGGGCGCAGTTCCCCACATCCTGAGTGGGGCTCTTGTTCTCCAAGAACACCCTCTCCTTCTCCTTCTCCTCCTTCTCCTTCCCCCGCCTCCCCTACTATACCATACTAAAACGTACCACGCCAATACCACACCTACCTACCATACCATACCTACCATACCACACCTACCATGCCATACCTACCATACCATACCATACCATACCATACCATACCATACCATACCATACCGTACCGTACCGTACCGTACCATACTATACTATACCATACCATACCATACCATACCATACCATACCATACCTACCATGCCTACCATACCAAACCTACCATGTCATACCATATGTACCATGTCATGCCATACTATACCATACCTACCATACCATACCTACCATACCATACCATACCATACCATACCATACCATACCACATCTACCACACCAAAGCTATCATACCATACCTACCACTCCAGGGAGGCCTCACCAGAACGAGGACAGTTTTGAAGGATTCGTGCCCCTCTCACCCCTCCGTGCCCTCCCTTCCCCCTGCTCCCCCCCGCGGGGATACGTGCTGGGATGTGTGAGGGCTTCGTGTGCTGGCATACGTGCTAGGGTGTGGCCTGGGTGCGTGCCGCCCCCGCGTGCTCTGCCTGCCCCCCCGCATCCCTCCTCCCCATGGTCCCCGTCTGCTATTCCTACCGACCGACCGACCGGCCGTGCCCCCCCTGCCCGACCGTGCCCTCCCGTCCCCCTGCTCCTCCCCGCGCCCCTCCGCCCCGTGGCCCCCGTCTGCGTATTCCGACCGACCGACCGACCGTGCCCCCCCCCTTCAGTCCCGTGGCCCCCGTCTGCTCATTCCGACCGACCGACCGTCCGTGCCCCCTTCCCTGCCCGACCGTGCCCTTCCGCCCCCTAGCTCCCCCCCGCCGTGCCCTCCCGCCCCCCTGCTCCTCCCCGCGCCCCTCCGCCCCGTGGCCCCCGTCTGCTTATTCCGACCGGTCGACCGACCGTGTGCTTCCGACCGCCCCGTGGCCCCCGTCTGTTTGTTCCGACCGACCGACCGCCCCCGTCTGTTTATTCCGACCGACCGACCGACCGTGCCCTCCTGCCCCTTGCTCCCCCCCGCGCCCCTCCGCCCTGTGGCCCCCATCTGCTTATTCCGACCGGTCGACCGACCGTGCCCCCCCCTTCCACCCCGTGGCCCCCGTCTGTTTATTCCGACCGACTGTGGCCCCCGTCTGCTTATTCCGACCGACCGACCGACCGTGCTTCCCCCCCCTCCGCCTTGTGGCCCCCCTCTGCTTATTCCGACGACCGACCGACCCCCCGCCCCCCCCCTCCTCCCGCGCCCCTCTGCCCCGTGGCCCCCGTCTGCTTATTCCGACCGGCCGACCGCCATGCCCTTCCCTTCGTGGCCCCAGTCTGCTTGTTCCGACCGACCGACTGGCCGACCGTGCCCCCCCCCTCCGCTCCGTGGCCCCCGCCGACCGACCGTGCCCCCCCCTTTCCCTCGCCCCGGCCACCCCCCTGTCCCGCCCCTTCCGCCCCGTAGCCCCCCCGCCTGCTTATTCCGACCGACCGACCGTGCGCACCCCGCTCCAGCGGTGCCCCTGGCCCCACCCCGCCCCCACGATGGGCCAAAAAGGCCCCAGGGCAGCTCAAGATTGCCCCAAGACGCCCAAAAGAGCCCCAGACGGGCCCACACAAGACCCCCAATAAGCCCCAAAGACGCCAAATAACACCATGGCCCCGAAGAGTCATAGAGACGCCACTAGCTCACAACGGCATAACAAGTTCTTCACGCTATAGTTTGGCGTGTCGCAGCACTCGCGCGCTTCCCCGAAACTACCACAGGCTGGCGCCATCTTCATCTCCTAGTGTCCCACATCCGTGATTGTACGATCCTTGGCACGCGTGCCTCTTGTTTATTAGGTTTCGTGCCCCTCCCACTCCTCCACGGAGGCCCCGCCTGAGCGAGAACGGTATTCGAAAACCATGCTATTTATCAGGTTTCGTGCCCCTCCCACTGTAGGGAGGCCCCGCCTGGGCGAGGAGGGTATTCGTAAATCATGGTATTCTCTTGCACAGGGTGTCTAGAGCTCATACATTTTTCCGCGTCGCCCCGCACCCCCTTTTCCCGCCCCCCTCCAGCCCTTTTCCCCAGCGTTCCCCAGCGGCCCAGTGGAACCTCCGCCCAGTGCCCCTCCGCCCCGACCATTTCATTCCGCGTCGCCCCCCGCCCCCCCCTTCCGCGCCCCCCTCCTACCCCTCCGCAGCGGCGCAGTGGAACCTCCGCCGGGTGCCCCCTCCGCCCCGACCATTCTATTCCGCGTCGCTCCGCGCCCCCCCCCCCCCCCTCCCCGTCCCCCTCCTACCACTCCCCAGCGGCCCAATGGAACCTCCGCCCAATGCCCTGTCCCCCCCGACCATTGCATTCCGCGTCGCACCGCGCCCCCCCTCACTGCCCCCCTCCTACCCTTCCCCAGCGTTCCCCAGCGGTCTAGTGGAACCTTAGCCCAGTGCCCCCCCTTCCGCCCCGACCAGTGCATTCCGCGTCGCACCGCGCCCCCCCTCTCCTCGCTCCCCTCCTACCCCTCCCCAGCGTCCCCCAGCGGTCCAGTGGAACTCCCGGCCAGTGCCCCCTCTGCCCCGATGATTTTACTCCGCGTCAGACCCCCCCCCTCCCCGCCCTCCTCCTACCTGTCCCCGGCGTTCCCCAGCGGCCTAGTGGAACCTCCGCCCAGTGCCCCCCCGCCCCGACCACTTTATTCCGCGTCGCGCCCCCCCCCCCCCCGCCGTCACCTCCCCCTCCTATACCTTCCCCGTCGTTCACCAGCGGCGCAGTGGAACCTCCGCTGGGTGCCCCCTCCGCCATGACCATTTTAATCCGCGTCGCGCGCGCCCCCCCCCCCCCCCCCCCCCCCTGTCCTGCCTCTCCTCAGCGCTCCCCGGGGCCCAGTGGAACCTCCGCCCAGTGCCCCCTCCGCCCCGACCATGTCAGTCTGCGTCGCACCGCCCCCCCACCCTTTCCCCGCCCCCTCCTGCCTGTCCCCAGCGTTCCCCAGCGGCCCAATGGAACCTCCACCAAGTGTTCCTTCCGCCCCGACCATTTTATTCCGCGTCGCACCGCATTTGTCCCCAGCTGCCCAGTGGAACTTCCGCCGTGTGCCCATTCCGCTCCGACCATTCTATTCCGCGTCGAACCGCACTCCCCCCTCCCCGCCCCCTCCAACCACTCCGCAGCGTTCCCGAGCGGCCCAGTGGAACCTCCGCTCAATGCTCCTTCCGCCCCGACCATTCTTTCCGCGTCGCACCGCGCCCCACCCCCTCCCCTTCCCCCTTGTATACCCTTCCCTCTTTCCCCACGCCCCATGCCAACCCGCCCCGGCGCTCCCAGCTGTCCAGTGTTCCCTCCGCCCGTCCAGTGTTCCCTCCGCCCCAACGAATTCATTTCGCGTCGCACTGCGCCACCCGTCCCTGCCCCGTTCCCCTATTCCCAGCGTTCCCCAGCGGTCCGGTAGAACTTCCGCAGGCCCCCTCCGACCCGACATTTTTATTCCGCGTTTCGCCGCCCCCCCCCTCCCCGCCCCCCTCGCCCTTCTCCCCAGCGTTCCCCAGCGGCCCAGTGGAACCTCCGTCCAGTGCCCCCTCCGCCCCGACCAGTGCATTCCGCGTCGCACTGCGCCCTCCCCCTC